GGAAGTGATGAAGAAAGTGTAGGATGACACAGGCTTCCTATTTCTAAGACACATTTTGTTTTCTGCAGTCTGCTGTCCATCCTGACCAGGTTCTCAGTGTCAAACTCTGCCCCAGTGTCCTCTGTGCTTCTAGAGAACTGCTGAATGGCATTGTTTGTTAAGCCATTAGAAATATCTGGAAAGCTTCTTCAAGTGTCATCTTATCAGAGTATCTCCAAATCTAAAAGTTCTGTTGAACTGTTACCCTGAAGGATGGAGTACTATGTATGGGATCCTGTCTTACCTTTACCACTGTCCACACTCAACCGCTTATTTTCCATAATTTTTACTGTGAAAACCTATTTGTGTATTTGATAATAGGATTCAACTTCCTTCCTTCATTCCCTTTCTCCTTTCCTCTGTCCCCTCTCTCTCTCTTTTTCTTCCATCCAGTAGTTTCATGTAGTTCAGTCTGGCTTTGAATTCATTATGAAGCTGGCCTTGATCTCCTGATCTTACTTCTTCTGCCTCCCAAATGCTGGGATTATAGATAGACACACCTACACTGGATTATTTCTGTAATAGTTTTTGACTGAAAAGTTATGATAATGCAGTTTCTGTATGGTTTACACCCATTTTCCTTATTAATGTCTTATGTTATTCTGAGACATTTGTCATAATTAAGAATTAAATTTGATACATTATGATAAAATGAAATCTAAACATTATTCCTATCTTCTTTCCTTTTCAACGATCCATTTCCCATCCCTTCCCTCATTCTTTTTATTCATTTTTCCTTCTTTCTGATTTTTTTTTTAAAAAGCAGAGTCACCTAACATCTGTGATCCCCCTGCCTCAGTCCACCAAGCTCTACCATAGTCATGTACCACCATGCTCCCTAGCTTTCTTCATTTTAAGCCTATGGTTTCGACTTTTCAGGTCCAAAATACCACATTCCATTTAGTTATCACCACCCTTTGTATTTCTCTAGTCTCTTCTGTGACATTTTTTGTTTCCTTTTCCTGGATGACCTTGACAGTTTTGAGGGTTTGGATCAAGAGATTTGTGTTTGAGGTCTGCTTTGTGTCTCTCTCACAGTTAGAAGTTATGCATTTTCGATGAAAAGTCACAGAGGTAAAGTGCCACATGGGCCTGTTATACCAAGGATGCATGGTAAAACCATGACATATTACTGTCGGTATTCTCTTTGGTCATCTGGCTGAGATAGAATTTTGTAATTTTTCAGTAAAATCTCTTCTTTTCCTTGCTGCTCTCTTTAGAAGAAAGCTACCAGGCTGAGCCAATGGAAATTTGTTTGTTACTTTCCTCATTGCCCAAGGTGGGTATTTCTGACAGCTATTTTCTCTTCTCTACTGGTTATTCAGGGCACAGCATTCTTCCATTCCATTGCTCCAGTGTCCCCAAGGATTTAGCCATCTCAATCCAGAGAGAACGGGGAAGAGAATGTTTGCTTTTGAAAGACGTGGCCTGAAAATGGCACATATCACTTCCACTCACATTCCATATGACACTTTCATCTGCCAAACCTAATTGCAAGGGAGGCTAGGACATATGGTTGAGCTGGGTGCCCAGGAAAAGGAGGAAATGGATTTGAGGGAAATGCTCGAAGCATTGCCACTCTTGCTTTAGAGCATAAAACATTACAAATTAATTCCACCACCATTAAATAATCTGGCCACTAGTTCACTAGAAAATAGAAGGAAAAAATAGGTCAAAATACTTCTCAGTCTAAAAGTTGCATAAATTATAAAGAACTTTGTAAAATTTATTTAGATGCCTTATTGAACTTCACTGTTTTATTGAATCTACTTTTATCTATAAATACATATTGGCCACACTAATGAAACATGAGTAGAAAATTCTGAATTTGGGAGCATTCACTCATAATCTGAGCACCTGAGAGGTAGACACAGGTAGATTCTGGGAGCTCTTTGGCTGGCCAGCCCAGCATGCTTAACAGGGCCTGTGGGAGTCCCTGTCTCAAGAAAAGGTGGAGGCAGGTGGTGCCTGAGGAACAATACTTGAAGCTTTCCTCTGACCTCCTTACTACCTTCTGTCGTCTCCTTGTCTATCATGTATCTATCTGTCTATCTACCTATCTCTATCTGTATATCATCTATCATCTATCCATCTCTCTCTGTCTATCTGTCAACTATCATCTCACCCACACTTTTATACATGTGGGAACATGTACACATTTATTCACATGCATTCCTACACTTATGAATACACAGGTACTTGGCGGAGGGGATCCTGTTCATTCCTCAAATGGGTGATATCTTTATCTAATGTAGACAGAATTAGCCTTGCTTCTGGGGGACATCATGCCACATTACTTCACTTGTTTAGTAGTCCCTCCCTTGACACCAGTGTAATTTGTGTTTCATGCATTAGCCTATATGCTCCCTGGGGACAGCACAGGCTTCCCTATGCCCCTATCTCTTAGGTTCCTAAGGAGAGACTGACAAAGAACATGTATTTTTTTTTTTAATATGAACAGGATGCTTTGTATGCCCAAAAGTGGGCTTAGTATTTCCTATTTCTTTCAAATATAGCAAGGCACTCCCGTTTCATACCAGTGAGGGCACTTGCATTGGCCAACCTTTCTGAAGGGACTACTTGTGACTGAAGCCTAAAAAGACTAGTAGGGATTGAAAAAACAGATTTGGGACACTGTGCTACAGATGGGCTGCAAAGCATGCTGTGGCATGCATTGGGCTCTGGGCATGCTCAATAGATGTGCTGGTTTCCTGAGAAATCGTGGTCCAGGATATTTGTGTTTCTTGATCAGGTAATTAAGACTCAGATCTAGGTCTAATTCTTCACTGCTCTTGGCACAGGGAGGTGGTGTAAAGGTCTAGTGCTCATTATTCTGAATAAGACTTACCAACCTGAATTCCCAAAGTCCCAACAGGGGGATAACTTCACCATGGCAAAAAACAGTGTTTAATTGCAGGTGTGGAAAGAGAAGCAGGAGGAAAACAAACAATAATTTGCAAGCTTTAATGAGTAAGCTGCCATGCATCTCATTACCAAAGAAAACAGGACTTCTTAAAGTGACCTGAAGCTTGTCAGAAAGACAGGGATTGAGAGACCTTGTCCCTTTCCTTCTGTTATTTTCTATCTCTCTGTCTATTCTCAGCTTGCTGTTTACATTGTGCCTTCACAAGTTCAATTTGTATTTTACCACAACAGACCCAAGAGGCATGGGGTCTACTTGCAAAATCTCTTCTTCACCCCTTCAGCTTCCTTGATTTCCATAGTTGAAAATGCACTAATTAGGATTTATAGATTTGTAGAGTTGTCTAGTTCCTACAGTCACCTAGTTATTCATTTGAAGTTCTCAGTGGCTACAATATGAGTAGATTTTTTTTTAAATCCAGATGAGAAACCTGAGACTTGTCTATTATATTGTTTGGTCTGTATGTCAAGAAAGCTGGGGCTCTCAGATGTGTCTTGTGACCCCATGCCTGCCTGGAGCTGAGTGAGCCATAACAAAAGTCTTTTCCCGGCTATGCAGCCTCATAGAAGATGGACACAGTTGTTTGTTACATAGCTGTTTGTTTCTCTGAAGTAACCATGATATTCTTGTAGGACTCAGTGGGTTCATGGAGGATAAGAATGGAGGACAAATGACCGTTAAGAGAGTATGTGAGAAAAAGAAAATCATAAGAATGACCCAAGGCTCACTTAATTTGGTTTCTGGATTGTATCAATAAGGAAATTTAGATCTACAAATTAACAGCATTTAGTTTAATTCAAGTGAATAAATTGCTATTAACCAGGACGCCTGGTTTGCAATCCAGTTCAGTATTCACTGCTTGTTGCTCATTTCCAATCTTCTTAGTATATCTTTTGTTTCTTAGGACACCCTTGATGCCACTCACATCGCCCTGTATTCTCAATTATGGTCATCAAGTCACATAACACATTCCTGTTAGAACAAAATATCGTTGAAGTATTCAGTTTACCTGATGTATTTCCAAACAGGGGAAGAAAGGGAATTCCTAACTGAGGTTGACTGAACAAACACAAAGATAAAGGCTGACAGGCCCAAGTTCAGTGATGGTCCTTCCACAAACATCATTCTTTATCCTTAACTTCCATTATGTGGGTTCCATCTTTGCCTCTGTTTCTATCATCAGAGACAGCAGTCTTCTCCTTTATGTGTTATGAAATAATGAGAACTGTAAATATCCCAAGACAATTTTTGCCCAGCACTAGAGCGGAAAGGATGGTGATGCAGGAAAGACCAGTTTGTTGCTATAGGCACCATCACAATGAAAGCTGTAAATATTTATATCAGCTGATGTTCAGAAATATAAATGTGCTGTACCAAGGAGTTTGATGATTTAATTATGTAAAACCCTTAAAAGTGAGGACCACTTATGGTTTCACTCTTTTAAAAAAATGTTTATGACTTGAGGTTTGCTGTTTTGCTTATATTAGAGAAGTTAGTTTTGCTGGGCTCCTCTGTGGTGTTAGAGTCTCATTCTTTCATAGTTTTGCTCTCATTTGTAGTTCTTTTCAGATGAACTTGACCAGAATTTCAGCATCTAGGAACTTCTGGCAGGTACTTGGCATCCAGAAATCAGAAGTCTTCCAGATCCTTAATTATGACATCAGGAAACTTAGGGGTTACCATGGCACTATTGCCTTTCCAGTACAGTCATAAACTTGGGGGCATCTTAAAAGAAGGCACCCACCATATGGAGAATAAGGGGGAATAATTCACTTTGTAACATGTTTGTGTTTTCAAACCATAAGTAGCTTTAATATTTACTTATACATGACATACTATTTCAAAGTATTATGGCTCTGCCATAAGAGGAAGAATGGCATAGCTATTACACATAAATAACCCCCTTTCCAATGCTAATTTCAATATTTATGACATGGGCACTTATGCATTTACTTATAGAATGCATTTAACAACTTGCAAGTGTGCATTTTTATAAACAAAATAAGAAAACGAATAATGATTTCATCTTGTCTTGCAGAACCCCAGCTGAAAGGAATTGTGACAAGGTTATTCAGCCAACAGGGATATTTCCTGCAGATGCATCCAGATGGTACCATTGATGGGACCAAGGATGAAAACAGCGACTACAGTAAGGAACTCCAGCTACTTGCAATGCAGTGCAAATTGACTATGTGGCCCAACCCAGCCATACTGCCTTTTGGACTCTTTGATGATTAGTGAGCTAGTCTTCCCCCTTTATCCTTCTTGTGGCATTATTCTCTTATTCTCTATAGAAAATAAAGCAATTATATATATCAGAGGAGCTATGTAATCAATGAGAAGGTATGATATTTGAAAGATTTCTAATAGTCATTAGATGAAGATATCTTCTCAATGGGTTTTTTGTCAAGGAACTAAGCAGTCGCAGAAATAATACAGACCTTCCAACATAAGGTGGTATTTAAATCTTGGACCCAAGTGATGAACAAATTATAATTCTCAGAGGCTATTTATTTATAGAAAACATTACTTCCTTGAACAAACACTGAACACATGTATATGTTATTTCCTTTTGGTTAACAACAAAATTTGAATACCATCATGATGAATCACAGTATATGTAATAGGAATAGGTTAATAAAGACTGGTAGGTCTAGCATGGACTTTAAAATGTCTTGAAATAAAAGTTGCAAGTATTCAAGATTATTTAAAAAATCTCCCAGAAATAGTCATTAGTGTTGACAAGTTCAAAAAGGAAATACAGTTCATCAAGGCAGGGGAGAATTTATCTGTATTTTGGAAACAACAAATACACATGCTTCAGAGGCAAAAATAATAGCTCTCACAATTTTCAAAGTATCCACAATCATACAGGTGACTCAGGGTAAATTCCTGGTCTCACAGTTGCTCACTGTGCTCACTGTGCCATATTTTTTCTTATAATTTTGTCCATGCTTATTGCTAGGTCTGTAGTGTTAGATGTACAATGAATGAATTTGGTGCTTGAGTGTAATCAAGCCTGAGAGAGGAAATTCAGGAAGGTCTAAAGTTCAACACTATCCTAGGTTTTATACTGCCTTTAAGAGCAGTCTGGGCTATATGAACCTTTGCCTCAAAAAAGAAAGAATCACAGACATGGAGTAAATGTCCATAAAATATATATACAGTGGTTTGTGATTCTGATTAAAGTGATTTTGTCAGACTTCTCTCAAGCTTCAGAGGGTAATTTAGGAAGCCAGATATTTTGTAATGCTGTGACTCTTAAATTAACAATAGCATTTGAGGCAAAATTTAAAACTTTTAAAGCACTGAGACGTTCCTGTCCACCCCTTTTAAGTTTTCTTTGTTTATTTAATATTGCACATTACAAAAATATGAATTACAATAAAGAAAAGATCTTATTATGAAGAATCCCGTTCCACGTTTCTCCCAGTTTTTGGCAAAGTTGTTGATTGCTTTATTGTGGCTTGCACTGTCAATTTCTATTTCTATGAATGCAATCTCTAAGTGGCTCAAGTTTTCAATTCAGGCGAGAAGAATGAAGAGCCCATACTCCCTATATGTGATTGTCTTCTGTTGCATCTGCACTTGAATGTCTGATTGGGAAGGCCACACTTACAAACAAGGCAGGAAACTGCATAGCTGTGTTACTTGTGTTAATTGTGAGGTATCTCTAGACCTCAGTTTCATGATTAAAATAAGAAGTAACTAGAGGTAAGAATAACTGTGCATGTCAACACCACCCATAGGACATTGTAAATATGGGAAAGTTAATGGTATCACTTATACCATCTAACCTGAGGCCCTGGGGACATTTTAGGAGAGGAGGTGACAGAGCTGAGAGAGCTGGAGGATTATTTACAATATTGTCTTCTGGATGTGAAAAGGCCATGGTAAACATCAGCACATAGCAGCCATGACCACGAGAGAGACACACAAAAAGGACAGGGAAGTAGGAGGGGGACAGGCTGGGAAGAAAAAGGGGGCCAGAAGAATTGGGATGGATATAAGAGAAAGAAGTATAGAGATACTTCATTGTGTACAAGTAAGAAAGCATCAAAAAATTAAAATAAATTAAATGAAAGAGTTATATAAATTGATGAAGACAGATTTTTGTCTCTAAGCAAGCCAAACAGTCATTCTCTCCCTGTTCTGCAGGATGCTGCCTGAGTCCAGCCAGCTGTGCAGCACCTTCCTTCTAGAAGAGAGAGGGTAGCAAAGAGGGATCCAAGCATGCAAATCCTTCACTGTTGCCAGTAAAAATTGTAGAAAGTGATCTCCTCTGAGGCAAGATCCATCACATGCCTGAATCCAATTCTAGCTATACATACATACATGTATGCACATATACTTCAGGCATACAACAAAAATTTGGCACCATAGTACCTGATGCTTATGTGGCACACATGTTGAAGAAAATAGATGATGTGTTCTATAAAAGGCTAACAGAACTGGTTTAAACTCAGAAATTCACACCACTGTTTTTAAGTTAAGATGACCTACTGTGAATACTTATGATAAATTATTATCAAAATGACATAGGTATATATAATCTAAAGATTAAAGAAGCTCATTTGGATTATCAGTATAAAAGTTAATTTAAAATTTCAATACATTTGAACCTTTTGTTCAAGAAGAAATTCTGTTTTTCTTGATTAACAGGCATAATAGCTTCCCCAAATTTGACTTTGCTTATTTAGTAATGATGTACTATAGCCGTACATTGGGTTTAGCGTGAGTGAGTTTATTTAGTATATAGTAATCTAAAGTAAAAGAGTAAGTAGCAAGTCATATAAAGATAGTTATATAGATAGGCAGATACATACACACACACATGTACACATACATACACATATATATGTAAACACATACACACACACACACATATATATATGTACACACACGTGTATGTATGTGTGTGTGTGTGTAATCAGAACATCCAGCAGAAATCAACTGGAAAGACCTCATTGGGTTAAATAGTTGGGGTTCTAGGAAGAGTAAGTTTTTGGGATTGCAGGGGATCCCCTTTCATGAGGCTTCCAATGAAAGGGAGAAAAAAATGAAGTTGGGAGGGATACATGTTGGTGAGTGGAGCTATGGGAGTAGATGGGGAGAGGAATTTTGGTTATATAAATATCACATTTCTTTGTATACTTGTATGAAATCCTCAATCATAAAGAAGAAAATGAGAAAAAACACAAAAAGAACAAACAGTAATAAATAGAAACATATAGAGATGACATCATCAAATTAGCAGCTCACAATATCCCACAGAAACTGGGAAACTGAGACAGTAAGCTTGAGTCTGGATTGAGTTTTCACTCCAGGGCCCGAGAGTGAAGTGGTATCTCCTTCACACTGAAGGAGCTTTTACAACATGGGCTAAACAATAGTAACCTCTGTTGGAGTTGGTAACCTTCTAGCTCTGCTCAAGGACATGACGTTCACACTCTTGAATGGCCTTGTTCTCTCTCTTCCTTCTCAGAGTTAGGAGGAGACAACCTATCCCAAGCAAGGGCACTTGAAGGACACTTGCAGATCAGCATGCTTGGACTCCCAGCCTGGGGAAAGATCTTACTTCTAGGTCCAGTTTCTTAGTGAGCTACAACAATACGTGACAGTTTACCAACATAATGTACATTACACACACAGTTTTTTTTTTTTTTTTTTTTTTTTTTTTTGTCGTTGTTTTTCAAGACAGGGATTCTCTGTGTAACTTTGTAGACCAGGCTGGCCTCGAACTCACAGAGATTAGCCTGTGTCTGCCTCCCAAGTGCTGGGATTAAAGGAGTGTGCTGCCACCACCCAGCTTACATATACAGTTTTAAAAATAGCCTTTTATGTTTAACTATATGCTTAAAGCACTCTTCATATTGCTTGGCATATTTTAAGCTTCTGTATAAATCAGAGCATCATCACACACATATTATATTCTGTAATCCATTTTGTTATGGCTATGAGGCTTGTAGAGATAATTAATACACTTACTTGCTTTACCTAAACCATGTGTGTATTAAGAGTGCCCCACAATGCCACAGTGTATATTACACCTTAAACACATGGGCTTTTGGGTGTTAGTGGAGATCCAAACATACCCATTTTACTCTTACTTTTAAGTTCTATGACCATGCAACATATATGCTTTGGTATTTATTTCTTTTGTTTAAATCACATTCACCAGAAGGTATGCTCCTATGGGAAGAAGTTTTGTTTTGATCCTTTATTGTATTTACAATAGTCTATCATGCATAGTAGACATTTGCTGGGAACTGGATGGATGGATGGACAGACGGATGGATGGATGGATGAATGGATATGCTTGTAAACAGGTTTTGTAGTTGTTGGCCAAATAGTTCCCATCTATATAATGTACCTTTTTTTGTTTAAAATTTTTATTGTATTATTGTGTGTGTGTGTGTGTGTGTGTGGTGTTTTGCCTGCATACATGTCTGTGAACCACGTGTGTGTGAAATGTCCCCAGAAGCCTAATGAGGGTGGCAAATTCCTTGGGACTGGAGTCACAGATAACTGCGAGCTCTGTTTTGTAATGGGGATGGAATCCAGATCCTCTGGAAGAGCAATAGTGCTTCTAACTGCTGCGCCATTGCTCCAGCCCTACTTTTGTTTTTTGAAATGATTCTAGGCTTTAGAAAAATGCGAGTGGTGTAGCAAACACCTTTGTACTCACTGAACCTTCTCTGACACCACTCACTGTTCCATGTAACAGCAGAACAATGATCAGAACTGGGGAAATAGACCCGAGTACAATGCTAAGTACCAGGTTAAAACATTTATACGTCAAGTAATGAACTCTCTTCTGACCCTCTCCCATCACAGATAATAAAAGAAGTTTTAAATGAAGTAATAAATTTCTATCTTTTCCATAAGTGGAGATGAAGGCTAAACAATGCCAGAGAGATATTCAAATTCCACTCATGTTTTTAATAGAAAAATTATGAGCCTTTAACGTTTTTAACATGCCTTTTCTTTCTCTGTGGGTGTAGAGTAAAAGCAGTTGATTGTTTGACAAAGGAAAAAAAAAACAAAAAACAAAAAACAAAAAACAAACCAAACCCTCTTTTTACTATAAGCATCTCACAGAAATGTTTGCTTCACTAGCTCCAAACCAACTTTACCACTGCATCTTCG